CGCAGGGTAGCTATGTCGGATTCTTCAAAGGCGCCCCCTAGCACAACGGCGCGGGGAGGATTGTTGTAATTCCCGGAACCGATAGCGCTGCTGTCAGGATGAGACGGCGGACTTTTACTGGCAAGGAGAGCTGGTATGATGACTTGTCCCGAGTCTCCAGGCAAGATGAATTGAACGACTAATGGTATTAGTATTGGAGGTGTACTGGTGCCATTTTTTACCTTCAATCTCTGGCTTGAGAGCTTCAATCACTCTTCGGCCGATAAATTCAGTTTTTCCACAGAGGATGATTGGGATCGGATTCGCTTCCGACATTCTGGTTGCTATCGAGATGGAGTTTCAAGGGTAAGCGGAAATAGAAGTAACCCTGCCTAGATGACCGCCAGCGTAGTATTTAAACCAGGTAATTCAGGCCAAGCTTCAGACCCCGACCTAAATGCTGACGCGACGTGATCATGAGGGGTAAGACCTAAGCCGCAAGCATAGAATATTATGTTCATTATTCTGCTATGCTACTCGCTGAAGCTATTCACGAATATTCATGTGCCTGGATTGTGAATACCTCGGGAGTTGTCCCAGACGGGGCTTTAGGTTCTCGGAATGTTGAGATGCCGAAGCACTACGAAATATGCGGAAAAGTGGCCTTCACTGTAATTTACCCGCCCAAAGCGCTGGATACTGCAGATCAGCAATTACCACAACCACCAATATTAATACGGGCCTCAATAAAAAATTCTACTGGTCTCAAATGACGTTATTGGTGGTCGACCCATCGATCATTTCAGTCATGACAATCATCGACTGCAAGGGTGAGAAAAAAAGAAAAGATCAGCTGGATTGAGCCTAGGCAGCAAGGGATAAACGTGCGTGTGGTGATCACTCTCCTTGCTGTATGTATGTCAGACGCAAGGGCCGCCCGTGCGATATTAAGCCACGCGATAATCACGCCTGTCAAGAGGGGGAAAATATCTTCATCGGAGGGTTTATTCCCTAGCGATATTGCAACGCTTTGACTCTCGTATCTTATTATGGTTAATGACAACGGTAATGGCGGTCATTGGAATGTCCATTGACGTTGACGCTTAACGGCCACTGATGATTACTCTACCGCCAAATTGGTAACCTGTTCGTCTGCCGCTTTACCTTGTAGGAAATGACATATCGTGTCTCACTCCCAAATCGACGTGTCCCCCCGATTGGGGTTACACCCTGCAGCCCTGCAGCGAGCCAAGTCCACTGAGAAGTGATAGCTTCGGCATTCCTTTCAGCTTTCCTTTTGTGAACAGAAACGGAAGTTTTCAGATTCAGGCACGAATACAGGCGTACGTCATCCGCCTACTAGCGACGCCTCTTTCACGATGGCGTCGTGACGGGAAGAATTCCGCTAAGTTATCTAAACTGCGGCACAGTGAAGCTACCAGCCGCTTGGACGAGCACCCGGCTCAAGATCACCAGTTAAACTCATCGATACGATTATATGCATCGTGATCCTTTCCATGTCAACGGCGCTGCCCAATGTAACCGTGTCGGTAGAGACTAGAGTTCATGTCAGGAACACACTAGCTCAACCCGCTAAATTAGCTCTCGTTAACTTCCGTCCCCCAAACCACACCCAGATCACGATCTTGGAAAGCTTCCCCTTTCACCGCGATCGGGACCTGAGCGTTGGGACACAAACCGCCATTGGACCGTAAAGTTGATCGACCAGTTCCTCAGCAGCTAAGATTGGCGTTACTTCGAAAATGACGACTCATATTGACGGGCAGGGGACTTAGGTAGGGATGTAATACGAAACGGAACGAAACGAAACAAAAAGCAATCGACACCCTTTGCCCGGGCGTATACTAGCCACTCAATGGAATAGGTCATTGTCTCATTCTTGCTTTTCCATCTGAGCCGTGGCTTATTACGCATTCGCGCTACCTGCAGCACTGCATCGTAGGCAGTTACGTACAGTATTACGGCATGGTCCCTTCGAAAATGCAGACTCAACATCTTAACCTCGTTGACGACGAGATGGATTCTCAACCTCCACCCATTCCCCTGCGAGCGCAAACACCAAGGCGACAAGTTGCGATGAAGCAAAGGTACTTTATACTCCAATTGGGTAATCGAGAAGCAACACTGACAGTTTAGCTTTGAGACGCAGGATTTAGGCGACGGAATGGCAAATTTCGACCCAGAGCTTTTACAGGCACCGTCATCGAGAGCCTCGAGCCGAGCCATGTCGTATCGAACGCAAGAATCGCAAATATGGTCACATAAAGACAGAGATGCATCGTCAATCTCGTCTGTATACGTCCCTACACATCTTCCTGCGCTGCAAGCAAAAGGCGCTGGCCTGGATCGTGATGGACTGGAGCCTTTGACCGAGGAGGAGTATGACCCCGCGTCGTTCGACCTCGTCGTTCCGGCGCATGCGATGGGAAAGCAGTATACCCTCGAGACACAATCCGAGCTGCTTTTCTCAGTGAAACATCTGTCTGTCATCTTCGATGACCCTGTTCTTCTGCAGCGCTTCACGAACTTCCTGTCTGCGTCGCGGCCGAGTTCAGTCCTCCTCTTGACGTACTACCTCGACACGCTCAAGGCGATGAAGGCAATTAATTACGCCAATTCGCTGACCGGATCGCTCAAGACAATTGATGGCCATGATTTCACAGCCGATCCTGTCACGGCGACTGTCAACGAGGCATTGGCGAAGCGGGCTACCGAGGCTTTCCAAGCCATGGTGAACCATGATCTACCTGCATACATCACCCACACATACATTCAGACTGTCAGCATCACGATCAAGAGAAGAATAACGGACACACTGGCACCTCAATTGCGCGACCTGTCAGAAGGTTTGGCAGAGGTGTTCTGTTTGACAGACCCTTCGAGATCCGACAACCCAATTGTTTTCGCAAGTGAAGGTGAGTTACTTTCGGCATAACCGTGTCGCAAATGCTAACAGGATCGCAGAGTTCCACAGAACGACTCAGTATGGTATGGATTATGTCCTCGGCCGCAACTGTCGCTTCCTTCAAGGCCCGAAGACGAACCCCTTCAGCGTCAAGAGAATCCGTGACAAGCTCGCAGCCGGCCAAGACCATTGCGAAACATTCCTCAACTACCGTCGCGATGGATCCCCATTCATGAACTTGCTCATGGTTTCTCCGCTGTACGACTCTCGCGGCGTTGTGCGATACCATCTCGGTGCCCAAGTCGACGTCTCCGGCCTCGTCAAGGAATGCGCTGGCCTGGACTCACTGGAGACACTGATGGCGGATGAGAATCCCGAGAACGAGCGCTACCCTGGCGAGTCGGAACAAAGAAAGAAGAATGAGGAGAAAGACGAGTTCCAAGAGTTGGCTGAGATGTTTGATCTCGCTGAGCTCAAGACAGTTCGCGAAGCAGGCGGTGCGTTCCACCGTACGCACCAGCAAGATGTTCGACAAACAGACGCAGTCCCTGCGAATTGGAACAAGCCTCGCCTGGTCTTCCGCGACGATGCCACCATCAATCGACGCCCTTCAGATCCCGTCCTCCATGACACAGCCATGGCAAGCTTCGGTGGCCGTCTCAGTGGTATCTATAAACACTACCTACTCGTCCGGCCCTACCCCAGTCTCCGCATTCTGTTTGCCTCACCGTCCCTCCGCGTGCCCGGCATGCTGCAGAGTTCATTCCTCTCCCGCATTGGTGGCTCAGACCGCGTCCGCGAAACCCTCACTCAGGCCTTCGCGGGCGGCAACGGTCTCACCGCCAAGATCCGATGGCTCTCCAAGGCAGAAGTACAGACTAAGAACCGTAACTCTCGCGCCATGGATCATTCTGCCAGTGGCGATGGTGGTCAAGCTCCCCCTGCAAGCCCAGGCCGTAACCGCTGGATCCACTGCACGCCTTTGTTAGGTTCAAATGGAGCTGTTGGTGTTTGGATGGTCGTTCTTATTGATGATGAGTCGGATCAGGCTTTTATGCGAGGCTTGAGGAGAGAGGCCCCGCCTGTGCAGCCGCAGCCTGTTCAGCAGCAGCAGCAGCAGCAGCAGCAGCCACAGGCGTCGCATGAGCTGTATGGCGACGATGATAAGATGAGTTTGAGTAGTTTTGCAGCTGCGCACAGGAATATCTGAGGCAGGTGACGGACCCGGGCTTGTGAGAGTAGATTTATGAGTACACGAGCATAGCCCTGTCATTTTAGGGCCATCTAGTCATATTAATGATACCTTCTTTTTCCTTTCTTTTGTAAAACTGCCCTCATCCTGGTGGGGTCTTCGTTCAACGCCTCATTAATACCCATGAAGCAAGGTCATGACCCACTACAGACCACCTTCTTATTCTTCCAGTGGCTTTCTATACGAGTTACGTCAGAGAACCTTCCATGACATTCCTAAATCGATTTAGTGAATCCTTTGACGGTTTTGACAGTTGACGCGGCCCGGGCCGGGCGGGAACCTACTTAACGTTGTTCTGGAAGCTGGAATGCACCGTTGATGCTAGACTGGCGTAAGGGGTGATGAGTGGTGAAGAATGTCAGCGACAGGACAGTCTTGAAGTGATTCAAAGAGCTTAAATCAGCCGAGAGAACTTAGTGATTCCAAAGACAACCTTCTTACAAATAAATAACGCTTGCATACCGAGACATGTCCGACATGACCTGACTTCTGAAGATATTGTTCACTAATCGGTGTCATTTACCCAATTCCGTGACCCTCGGGGACCTCCAACTTATACCCCGACAATTACCTTGCATAGCCATCAAATCGACCTTGTAATGTCAATCAAGCAATCATTGCGCCAAGTCAACACCGTCATCCTGACACGTGAGATTGCGACATATACCCCGCGGATGGTGATGGAGCCGTATGCCCAAACTGGAAAGGAGCGCCGATGATATAACGTTAGTGTAACATGCGTATTCAACGAGTATAAAAGGTATTATACAGATGCCACCGATTCTGATTCAGGATATCCAACTCAAAAAGTACTCCCAACCTTTGTTATCAACTCACTCAAACATGTCTTCTTCAATCGTCCCAGAGTATGAGGCTGCGAATGAGCAGTATGCCGCAGCCTTCACCAAAGGAGACCTTGCTCTGCCTCCATCTCGGTATGACATCCGAGTTCTGAATTTCCTTCACAGCTAATAGATCACAGTCACGTCGCTGTCGTTGCTTGCATGGATGCTCGTCTCGACCCAGCTCAGGTTCTCGGGATCGAGCTTGGCTCCGCCCACGTAATCCGCAATGCAGGCGGCCGAGCTGCAGATGCTCTCCGCTCTGTCATCATCTCCCAGCAGCTCCTTGGAACCCGAGAGATTGTCATTGTTCATCATGTTGGTCCTTTCTCTCCGTCTAAACTTACGTGACTAACCTGTTGTAGACTGACTGCGGCATGCTCACCTTCTCCGATCTGGATCTCAAGACAAAGGTTCGTAAGGATCTTGGTGAAGACGTTGATCACATTGCTTTCCTCCCTTTCGGAGACCTTGGACAGAGTGTCCGTGACGATATCACTTTCTTGAAGAAAAGCCCTCTTGTTCTGGATGTTCCTATCACAGGCTACATCTATGATGTTAAATCTGGCAAGATCAACAAGGTTGATGCTTAAATTTAGCCTACGAAGAGGAATCGTTGGGAGTTAGGGGAGTTAGTGGGGTGAGCTGTTTGGAGATGATACCAGGTCGTGGCGTCGTGATGATGTGTTCAAGGTGATATCGGAGAGACTTCAGATAGTAATCTATTGTGACTAGCTTATAAGTAAACTTAATGACCGTGGTAGGGCTCAAAGATTGAAAAGTAGAAAGGTAAGATCAGCCCAGCAGGCTTCTAGTCGCAGTTACACAAAAGGAATGTGACAAATGAGACAGCATGTATATGATCCATGATTGATCCGTCACTGGTCGACGTGAAGATCTTCAATGATCTTGTCGGCGGCTGCAAGAGCGAAACAAGCAGCAGTGAGGGTAGGATTGCAAGCATTCTGGGTAGGAATGACACCGCATCCTCCAAGAACAAGGTTATCAACGCCCCAAGCCTTGCCGTTTTTGTTGACAACACTATCAGCTGAAGTGCTGCCCGCGCGGTATGTGCCGCAGATATGGAGAGCAGATCCAGGAGCGAGGTACTTGGGCTCAGCACAAGGAAGGAAGCCGCCAAGCTTTCTAGCGACATCGATCATGCTGACAGAGGAAAAGAGGACACAGGTTAGCATTGTACTGTACATTTGTGCGACGCAGGGACTTACTCTGTAATCATTCGCTTGCAGCGCTCTTCCGCTTCCTCATCCAAGATGAAGTTGAAGATTGGCTGTTTCAGAATGTCAGCTCAGACATGATATGTATGACAAATTTTGGTTCCACATACCTGAGGCATTCCAAACTGATCTTTGGTCTCGGTAGAGAATGTGACACAGTTCTCATATTCAGGTTTCATGTAGCCAAACCAGCGAAGATCGACAACGAGGCGTTGATCGATGTTTGACGGGACTTCGCCATAGCCAAAGGCATCACGATGAATCTGAGTATGCCAAGGATATTTCTCGGATACCGGGAAATAAACCTGAGGGTCAGGATCGTTGAAGGGAAAAGGAAGCGGGTCATTCTCATGTGCTGCAACGTGAGCTTTGACGACCTCTTCGTCCCGGACGCTGTTGACTAGAGTCCTATCAAGGACAACCTGACAAAACGCCATAGGCTGCTCAGTCAAGTAATGGCCCTGAAGATCTCTGTCAGACTAAGTTGTGGTGTTTGTTCGATGAGTAACCCTACCAGCATAGGCAGCTTGCCCTTCAACTTAGACTTGTACAAGATACCCGGAGTAAGAACGGCACCGGCACAGACGACGTACTTCTTGGCCTCGATGTAGTACTCTTTGTTGTTTTCAAGGTCGTTGATCACGGCGTAGTGAATCTGGCCCAGGGCATCCACTTCAAGCCTGTCGCACTGGGTGTTGGGCCTGATGTCGAACAGTCGTTCTTCGCCCTTATAAAAGTACTCTGGCTTAGACAGCTCACCAAGAATGGTAGCAGTGCAAGACCACTCAACGTACTCTTTGTTACCTTGTTTGCGTTTGCAGGCCAACGGCATGCTCTTCATCTCACGATCGGGATAGGCCTCCGTAAGGACGCGCTTGACGAGCCTCTGGCGAACAGAATCATCAAAGGCGTCGTCGGTCTTCTTGAAGAGCTTCTCAGCCCGACTGTAGAGAGCGTTCCACTCACTGTCGCTGAAAAGGTCAGACCGTTCAATCCCCTTGTGCTGTCGAGGGGTGCAGCATGTCCAGTGAGATCCCATACCGCCAACAACACGAGTTGCGGCTGCGGCAGGTAGGTTACCATAGGCCTTCTGCTCCGGGTTCTGACCATTGAGGACATAGGCTGAGTCAGTAGGTCTTTTCAGGTTAGTGTAAGCCCTATCAAGAAGAGGATGTTACCTACCTGCGAGACCAGGATGCTGGCTCAATGACAGGCCTTGCGGAATTGGTTGGCACCGACAGTGGGTGCAGCTCTCCCTACACACGATATAAGTTAAAACCCCACACGACTTTTGGGTTGCCATACCTTAACAGTGCTAGATCCGGGATTAGACTTTGAAGATTAAAGGGTGTTGGACTGGAAAGACTCACTTCGTGAACAAGCTGATATCCTTCTGAACTGCAACGCTATTCTTCTTATGATCGCCGACACGGCGAGTTTCCCTTTCTCACAGTGAGCAGCTGCGCATATATCCGTTCATGCAAGAACTTACTGCTGGCCGATATCAATCATGGTGACCTTGATGCCCTTTTTGACGAGGGCATGAGCGAAGGTGGCACCGATTGGGCCAGAGCCAACAATGAGAACATCGGTCTTTTCCAAATGAAAGGTGTCACTAGCAGAGCTAGGACTCGGAGTAGGCTTGTGGACCATGATTGCAAAAGAGTGACTAAAAAGAGTGACAGAAAGGTTGTAGCTATTTTGGGGAAGTCTGAAGGGCTGATGATTGTCCTTTGTGAGATTGAGAACAGCCTTCTTATAGATCTAAACTATGGGAACCCGCTGGACTTCTTCTCAAGTAGAGTTCTTCAAGAAGTTAGAGCATATCAATACTTTTACGCCCAGCTGAAAATGTGATTGAGGGGTAAGGGTTGTCACATATCTGAAGACTCCACCGCATGCGTACTTCAAAGGACGTTATAGCGAAAGGTGAGACTGTTGAGAAACACATATCGTATTCTCTTTGCAAGTGAATCCGATTCATCCTATCGTCCAGGCAACTCTAGGCATTTATATAAAGTTCTCCAGAAGAAGGCTCCTGGGGCAATGCCAAGGTTATTGGGGGCTGGCTGAACGCTGAAACATTACGCAAAGAAAGGTGGTGGAGATTACGGACCAAGCCAAAGCATTCCGAATGGTATTTTCCCCAAGATCCTGGTGCAGGCCAGCCTGAAAGCAGCATCACCTATTGGCCTAGGATATGAATGACATGTGGAGTATTACACGTGGCTATCTCCACGAACTTGAGCTGGCACAATGGCTTCCTGGCACATGAACTCCCTAGACAGACTCTACCCAACCAATACTGTATTTGAGACTTCCGGAATGACGCTACGAGGACCAAGCGGTGATCTAGGGTATGAGTACAGTCAAGCATCTACCCTTGGAAAGGATATCCTGAATAAGAACTTTTGATAGCATTGCCAAGTTAAAGGAAAGTTTGATTACACCAAGGTCCCATAGAGCCCATAAGACCTAACTCAGACCCTTATAACATGACCCAAATATCCTTTAAAGGAGCGACCAAAATTGCGTCAATGGCAAATAATAAGAAAGACTATCTTCAGGTTTGTTCCTGATTTTGGTAGATAGGATTAGTGGTGAATCCCAAGTTCAGACTCTGCCAATTCCACAGCATAGCAAGATCACCCAGCTCAGCCTCAGAGATTGTCTGCCATCCCATCTCGAACTGGGGCTGCCCATCAGTGAAGCTCTGCATGCTACTGGTAACATCACCAGGCCAGGGCTGCCCATTTGGTGCAGCGGGATTCATCTGCTGAGGATACGTGTAGTTCTGGAACCGATGATCCTGAATATCCTGAGGAAACGGCATCAAAGGCTGCTGACCAGCCTGCATTCTGCCAGGAACCACTGGGGGCACATTGCTATATGGTTGGTATTGAGCAACGGGCAAAGCATGCTGCGTAGGTTGAGTCAACACCTGTGCCGGAGCTGGTGCGATTTGGGCCAGCTGAGAGCTTGGAAGTCTGGCGGCTGCAGGAACAGGGATAGCGCCATTGCCCCGAGGTGGTTGATCGAATCGACGCTTCTTATGAGCATCAGTAGCCTGCATCCCGGCGGTCGACGGCAGTTTCTTAATCAGCCGTCGTAACACGTCATAAGGAGCTTTGGCTGTGTTGGTAGCGGTGCGCAGCTTCTTCAGTGTCGCAAAGGCTCGAGCAATTGAGCCGATGACTTCCTCGCGACGTGGCACGATGCCGTCTTCAGCGTGAATGATGACTGAGCAGAGGAGCGCTGCTGTGTCGAAGATACAGAATGGCACAAAGTGGAAGGTTGTGTCTCTGGTCCAGACGTACTCGAAGAAACGATGTACAGCTTCCATGAGACGTAGGGCATAGTCAATGCCTGTCTCTCGGAACTCGAGATCAACAGGAGGTGCCGTTGACCTCTTCATCGACTTGGCCATGTAGCCTCTGAAAGGGCCAAGAGCAATGGAGAGGGTGCAAGTATGCATGTAGTGACGATGCAGGGCAATCCACGGCAGATCCTGGTTAGCAGGGGTATTGGGGTGATCCAGAGCATACTCAGGCGGAAAGTTCTTCATGAAGCCTTCCAAAATGGCCTGATAGTCTCGAATCTCATCAGGCTCAGTCAGAATCTTCGGTGGACCAAAGCGTTTGAATATGAGGCTGACAAGTTCTGACTGAAGCTTGAGATGCAGCATGGGCGAGGCTGGGTAGTCTTCGAGGGTAAGACTTGGAAGGCCTACGTCGCATTCCGCACGGTCTATGAGCATTGGACGAGCCAATAGTGACGAAACAAGCCTGTGGCCAATTAGCATGCATGGAGTTCAGGTTGTAGGCAGCACCTACCAGTCCCAGGAGTCAACGATACACCATAGTCGTCTCTTCATCTCCAGCTCGAACCCTGACAGTTGGCCTTCGGGCTTTTTATGAAGATCTGGACAATAATTAGCAATACGCTACTCAGTCAATAACTATCAACTGACCAATCATCTGCGCTTCTCGCACAACAGCGCCCAATACCTGCCAGCACTCTGCAAATCGTGCCTCAGCCTTGAACCAGTAGCACGAATGTAGTAGGTACTGGACTGTGTAAACATGCCCGTGGCCAACAGGAATGGCGCTGTGAAGCTCTCGAGCAGCATCGTGATACTTCTGCGTCAGTTCCTTGACAGATTCACCAACATCACTTTCGATCTTGGCCCGGAGTTGGCCATCGACATGCTGCACGGAACAAGCGCAGACCATGAGCAGCAAGCATGTCCACTGGACGCCACAAGTTCGACCTTTGGTGTAGTCATCCCACCAGCGGGCGTACTCTTTGCTGAAGTAGGGCGGGTAGACGATGTAGTAGTAAAAGTTGACCACGTC